CAAGCTCAGGAGGCAGCCAAAGGTAAGCAGACACACGTTTATCTCTTTGTTTTCAGTATTTCTTTCTGTTCCTTCAAAAAATAGGTAAACTGCGTTGCGTAGACACTATAAACCTGCCAGGGAATGGGCGCATATCCATTCTTCTGATTCCAGGCAAGCTTCTGTTGCTTGCAGATGCATACACCTCCGTGAACTTGGCCCGCGTTGGTCAGATGTCTGTACGGATTGGCGTATTGACGGAGAACAGCGAACTGGCTGGAGATCTAAAGACTGCATTCACACAGTTGCCAACTGAACCGTCAGCCGGAACGTGTGAAGGATCTATCGCGGAATTCGTGAGTAAAGCCACCGTTTAAATGTTCGATTGGCGAGCATAAATACGCATTTAGACGTTTATGGACCTCTGCATAAGCACGAAAATGTATTTGACATTTTCCACTTCTGTTTGAATTTTCAGAAAAAGACGAAATTTTTGGCACAGCTCACAGACGCTGGAGACCAGGAATATCGCCAAGCTGTGGAGAAAGCCCTTAAAGCTGGACTTGAGTAAGTGCATCTTTACTGCCCGCAGCACAACACCAACGCACAAGCAAGTAGGTAGTGTAATTCCACAAGACATTAGAATAATGCATACAAAATCAAAGACGGCAAAAGACTACGGCACAGAAATGTCGTGCGGAGAAGAGAAGGTAATGTGACGAACAGTTCTCCATAATCATAGCCGCCATACTCTCATACACCTCGTTCCCGGCACAGACCCGCTTGCTCTTCATCATCACTGATCCAGTTGACTTAAATGCTAATTCTGCATGGTATTGTTATGTCGACTGCTGCTGTTCTCTCAGTGAGCTGCCGTCGTACCCTGAAAATGATGGGGAGTGGCAGAAGTTCTGGGAGAAACCCAACGGCGCCAACCTCGCACGCCTTCTTTCGTCTAAGAGCACCAAAGTTGGCTGCGCCGTAGGAACATGCACTAAAACAGATGAGGCTCGAACAGGGACAAGTATCACATATCTTTTTTGTCAGATGGATCCTGCAGCTGAGGAGAACAAGGCTCCCTTCGAGTAAGGGTTGAGTGAGGGGGCTAAATCAGGGAGAGGGCTGGATACAGCACAACTTCTGCTTCTGCAATTCGACTGCCTGCTTCCTCATGTCTTGGTTTTGCGTTGCAGCAAGGAG